CGTAGCCTGCTCCGCCGACAAAAAACCACCGTCAGCCGAAACATCCGACATCTCCGATCTGATTCCTCTCCCTCAACAACACATCCAAATTCCTCAGGATCTATACACACACTAAGATGCAAACAAAAAAAAGTAGCTTAATAATGCAGATTTCTAGAGAGTTCTTTGGGATCCAAATGCTTTTCACTGGGATTTCAAATCAGAGTCTCGCGAACATATCTAGAGAGAAAGAGAGAGAGATAGTTTCAGAGAGATCTTTCGTTTCTAGAGATGGAAACAAGAGAGAGAGTGAGATTTAAATGCTGTCACAGTGTTGTTTTCTCTTTCTTTCTCTCTAGTCCTCTTCTCTAATGACAAGACAAGAAGAGGGAAAAAAAAAGAAGATTAGATTAAGTTGTTAATTAATCAACGTTCACTTGATCAAGCACTTAAGTACTAATATTATTAGATTAATTAATAGTCTAAATTAGGAAATATAGCGATTAGTACAATTGATCTATTTCCTTGGTTTTTTAGTAAATGGTAATATTATATATATAAAATTTAGGTGGATGGTTAATTATTTTGGTTAGTGATGTGATTAGTGTAGAAAAGATGTGATTAGTCAAAGAGATGCTTTGCGCGTGAGAGGAGGGAACGTGTAATATGTCCTTTTTGTTTTTGTTTTGTTGTTGTTAACTAAATACGTGTACCATGTCTAATTTGTTGAGAGATCTCTTTGTTTTTCTTTTTGAGGGACAATCAATAATGTATGTTTTCTCTTTTGTTGTGAACCGAACCGGAACCGATCCAAATACCCGAACGCATAGTCGAGCATATTTTTTGAAGCGTTCTAAAATCGAGTGAGATAAAAACTGATTTTTTGTCTGCACGGTTAGCTACGAGATGAATATCTATTATTGGATAAAGTAAAGAGAATGGACAACAAAATTTCAACAAAGAAACAATTTGTCTTATGACTTACACAAACGACATAATCATTTTCTTTTTTTTCTCTACTCTCTATATACAACAAAAACAACACAACATAAAAAAAGATGAAAAGCTTCCTCTATATTACTTCATTCTTGTTCATTACCTTTGAGAATATTGAACTTGCACAGTGGACATGTCGCATTCATTTTCAGCCATTTCACGATGCACGTCGAATGAAAGTGGTGGTTGCAAGAAAGTGAGACCAGCTCTGCTCCATCTTCATATGAACTCAGACATATACAACAGTCCTACACAAACCACAATTCAAGAAGGCTCTAAGTTTCATATAAAACATCCACAAGATAACTTTCGAAACAACAACTTACCGCATCTTCAGGAAGAAGCACACGTTCCTTTCCCATATTCTCACTGCCTGCCTCGACGGGTATCATTTTCCCACCACCGTCACTTTGCTTTTCATCATTGTTCAGCGCCTGAAACCTGTACTTGGGAAGGATGCTGAGATCTGCTTCTGATGCACCCTCCTAAAAACACACACACACACATATCAAAGGCAGTTTATTGCTTTCATTTCTTCCAAAAGGGTTACTGTTATACTCCATACCTGCCCCGCGACGGCGTAAAGAAGAGCAATAATACAAGGGAGGCAGCAACACAGGGCAATTCCAATAAGACATGCCAACACAACGCAAAAGATGGCGAAAAACACATCAAATGCAAGGAAAATAAAGGTTAACCTGCAAACATTAATAAACATAATGATGTCATTACCATTCAGCTAGAAAAAAAAAGGAAACGTAAGAGTTTTCAGTAATAAAACATTTGAGTAGATCAACCCATACCAGTACAAATGCGTCGCATTCTGCAGAAGGATATCACCACCAGATACAAGCCAGTAGAAGCCAGCGATCCACCAGATAAATGATATTATAGTGTTCATCGATTCACAAGTCTTAGTGCTGATATAATTGATTCTCAAAATCATTAGTAAATAATTTTGGCTAAAGAACAAAGCAACACAAACAAATATTCAAACACTGGAAGATAATGGAAAACTCGCTGGCCTTTCTCTCCTCACTACTAGCTTCCTCGATTAAACACAATTTGAACTGCCCTTTTCGAATCTTGTATAGATTAATAGCAAGTAATGATAAGCGGATAAATTCGGGTTCCTAGTCCGGGTGGGTGGTCCAGTTGAAGTCGGAAAGTCTAAGACTAAGAGAAACAATAATGCAAGCAAAAACCTCAATCACAACTTCAAGAAGTCAAGAACCAAAGAAAGGTCTTCTCTAACTCGTTCAAATTTGAAATCCGATTATATCAACTGATTCAACCGTAGCGAAAGCTAACCTCAGGATCAAACTGTGAGAAACAAGAATGCAATCAAACCCTCAAACCAAGGCTAAGTTGAAACAACTTCAAGAAACCAAAATTTGCTAAGACTTAGACAAATTTGTAGCAATCAAACATTCTCATTGAAATTTGAAATCTGAGAGCTAACCTCAGAATCCTCTCATCGTTATCCTCATCCTCACTATCATGATTACCAGAACCTTGAGCAGCTTCTAAATCCCCAGTTCGAGTCCTAGCATTCCTCTTCCTAAACTCAAGCCAAACAAGCACAACATGAACAAGACACTGAATCGCATAACCACAGATCCAAACCCTAATCGGAACATTTGGCTTCTCTTCTTTAAAAACCAAAAGCATCACAATCGCAACAACAACAAACGCAGTGTTCCAAAGCATGTCCAAAGCAACAACGGGTTTCGAGTAACCCCAATCAGCTCGTCGCTCTTCAAGCTCTTGAGCAGCTGTCTCTCTAACCACCATCGAAGCTCCTCGTCGTCCTGAAGCTCGACCTAATAGAACCGCGATTACAGGTGGACGACGTGGTGATGATTGCCGTGAACGGAGAAGTGGTGTGGATGAGTCGGAACCGGAAGGTGATTCAGGTGAAGACATCGTTGAATCCGTCTTCGCTTGACACAGAATTGAGAGAGATGAAGATAAATCTAGGGTTTGTGTTTCTTTGTACCTATCAGTACCACTCAAAAGTCAAAATAGAGACTTTAAGTTAAAAATACAAGATTTGGTGTATCGGTGATTCATAATTGTCTTAATTCTTAATGTGCTCTTTAAAGAAAATGTGTTAAGAGTTAAAGATTAGAAGGATTAGAGATATTTTAGTAGTCAACAATTAGACTAGTCGGTAGGAAATTGAGATATTTTAACACTTGTCTTGTCTTCACGGTTATGTTTAAAAGCAAATGTGGTGAGAGTGTGGAACTATGTAAATAAGGGGTGTTACAATGGGTTAATACCTATGGGTTATCCGAATCTGCCCATGATTTTAGTGGGTTTGGATAGAATTTTTTTATCCATATATATAAATGGGTTTTAGTGGGTTACCCTATTAGAGTTATGGGTTTAATGGGTAAAACTCATTAGGGTCATGGGTTACCCATGAGTTTCATAACTAAAACTAAAAAGTAAAATTTATATATATCTATATTAATATATTATATAAAATTTATATAAATATATGTAAAATATCTTCTTTTCTTTACAACTATATATATCAAATATCTAAAATAACTATTAAAGTTAAAAAGTAAAATATATGTATAATATTTTTTTTCCTTGCAGCTAATTATGTAAAATATATAAACTCAAGACTAGGTTTATATATTATTTGGTTTTATGGTTCTTTGGATTTGTGGTTTTAAGATTTTAGGATGCTTTTCTATTTTAATATCTAGATTTTTTTAATTTATTATTTAAAAACTTTTGTTGGTTTACAATTTTATGTTATTTTTTTGGATTTTTATTATTTATATATTTTATTATACATATATATGGGTACCCATATAACCCATTAAGCCAATGAATTTCTACAATAATGGGTTTGGGTATGTAAATTCAACCCATATAAATATATGGGTCGGGTCAAACCCGTCCATTAAACACTCGAACCCATATGGGTTTGGGTCGGGTCGGGTCGGGTTACCCATTTTGACACCCCTACAAAAATCGATGGTTGGCGGAGGATTTTTGTTTTATAAACTCCAAAACAATGGTTTTTTGGTTTTTGAGAAATAAATAACATGAAAACTAGATTCCCTGCCTAAATTATATAAGAACTAAAAATCTAAAATCGTGAATGAGAGATTTCAATAAAAATGTTTTTCTAAATTCTAAAAAAACCAAAATTTTAAATCTTGATTGGTACGAAAATGAGATTTTAAAAAACAAAAACCAAAATCTTTTTCCAAATCTACGAAACATTCAAGGCCAAATTCTCCTCTTATAGTTTCCTTGTTAGTTCTTATGCTACGTCATCATTCGCTAATGGATATAAAACGGTGTTATGAGTTATATGTAGGTCTGTGATTTATATCCGTTATTTGCGGATATCCGTATCCGTATCCAGTTTTTTGATCCGAAAAAACGGATATCGGACAAACGGATACGGATACGGATAGTAAAATGACGGATATCCCGGATACAGATACGAATAATCCTAAAATTTAGGTCGGATAACGGATATCCGGCAAAAAAAAAAAATTATAACTTAAAAGCCTTATGACTCCAGTTTTCAAGTGTTAAAGCCCAAAAAAATTTGTAAGCCCAACTTTTTTAATTGTTTTTATTTTATTTTTAATGTTAATAAATAAATCATATGACAAAAAATAAAAATAAATTTCTAAGAAGAATTCAAAAAGTTGATTAATGTCTTTTTTTATTAAGAACATCACTTGAATCTTTTAAATTTTTTGTTACTTTAATAAATTCTTTGTTTTTGTAATGTTTTATATATATATAATCAACTTTTAGCTATTTTATGAATTTTTTTAGCTTTTTATGTATGATATTAATGAATTTAGGATTTTAAAACACTATTTCCGGATATCCGGATTTTTAACGAATATCTAGATACCGGATCCGGATACGGATACCAAATTGGCGGATAATGCGGATACGAATACGGATATCTTAAAAAAAATAGGATATACGCTCCGTTTACTGGCCTAGTTATATGACCATTTGGTGGAATTAACAAAGTTTATGGAAGTTTTAAAATGGCATCTTAAAGAAATGCCAACAAACATCAAGCGAGGTCCAAAAAAAAAAAAAAAGATTAACAACACAAGTAAGAAAGTGTATTAACTGAAACCCTAAACAACCACAATCGATCCGGGTTCATTGGATTCATACACGAACCGGAGAGATATGTCGGAGATAGAGCACCCTCGGCTTATTCTACACAATTTCCTGTCGCCGGCAGAGTGCAAGGTTGTCACTTTTTTACTTAATTTTTGTGTCTTTCTCCTTAAAGATTTGTGCTAATCATGTGGGGGTTTGGTTAATTTTGTGATAAAAACAGGAACTTGAGTTCATACACAAGAGTTGCAGTACAATTGGTTACAGACCAAATGTCTTCTCCACTACTCTCTCTCACCTCATTGCCACTAATTCTCCTCACCTCATCATCCCTTTCGTGTCCATTAGAGGTCATTCTCTTCTTTAAAACTCAAAGATTTCACTTTTGTAATTATCTCTTACATTTGTCAATGACAAATGAGATTCAAAGTGATGATCTTTGTTGTGTTGAGTTAACAGAGAGGTTGAAAGAGAAGATAGAGGAAACATTTGGGTGTGAGTTTGAGCTTTTTATTGAATTCACAGGTTTGATTAGGTTAGTCAGTTGTTGTCTCTCTCTTCCCTTTCTTTAACAGAGAAAGCTAGGAACAATAAGAATGGTTATTTTTGTTCTTTGGTTTTGAATCAGTTGGTGTAAAGGAGCTAGCATTGGGTGGCATAGTGATGATAACAGATCATATTTGAAACAAAGGGATTTCGCGGTTCGTGTTTACTCGATTTTTACAATCTAGAGACGTTATTGTTTGATATAAGGTTTATGTGTGTATGACTTTGGTTTTTAGTTGGTTTGAAGGCAGTTTGTTACTTGAATAGTTACGGGAAAGATTTCAAAGGCGGGCTTTTTCGTTTTCAGAGTGGAGAACCAGCAACCGTTGCTCCCTCGGCTGGTGTAAGTATTGTTCTTTTTCAGTTGGCTCAACGGTTACTACTCAGATTGAATAATGAGTTTGTGTTCTTGACCAGGATGTTATCATGTACACAGCTGATGACCAGAACATTCATTCGGTTGATGAGGTTCGACCCGTCAATATATACTCTCAGTTTGTTTGTATGTCCTTGGCTGTTCCATGTAGATAGAAGTTACTAATGGAAGCTTACAGGTAACAGATGGAGAAAGATTGACTCTTGCACTCTGGTTTAGCCGGGACTCATCCCATGACGAAGATGCCAAACTTCTTTCTCGTCTTTCCCAATGCACATCACATGGAGTTTGCCTCCCTTTGCCTGCATCCACTAGCATGTACTGGTTCTGTCCTCATCATGATGCTTCTAATCAAAACATAGGTTTTGATATTTGCGTTGCGAGGTTGCATCTTCTTGGTTTCGACGTTCATAGCTTACAAGGCGAAGATCATTCTATGGATGCCTCTGAACAACTCATGGGGCCACTACAATTAGCTAAAGGAGGAGAGTTACTCACCCAAAAATTTGCCAACATTCTTCATGCTCGTCAGGTACTTAGACCTTCACATGAGTGTCTTCAATGCCTCAAAGCTATAGTTAATGTCTTGTTAAACTGCCTTTCTTGCATCATATATAATCAACTGCTTATTTCTTTCCCATTTGCTGGATAACAGGTTGTTCAGTTCTACCATTGGAAAGCTTCTGAACTCAAAACTTCTAATGTCGAAAATGACACGTTAGAAGAGGTGAAAGCTATGTCCCACTCTCAGTTGGAAAATATCTATACCCTGAAATCAGTTTTCCTGCCAGATGAGAACCTCGTAACCACAATTTTTGGATATTCGTGCTCTGATGAGGATCGAAAGGATTCACTTGACTTGACGGATATATCTCCTGTGATTCCCTCTTGGGAAGAGTATACCAGTAAGTTACTCAAGGAACTATTATCTTCCTTGCCTCAATGGAAAACTTATCAAACTATACACAAAGTCGAATCTGATTAGAAATTTATCCCGAGTTACGGATGAATTAGGTAGTTAACAACTGGAGAGTGATTCCTCTCGTCTTCAAAGCACATTGTCTCTGTTTCTATATGTTTGATCTGATATTGGTTTTTCCCAGTTTTTGTTGCCTCCCTTTTGGAATTTGGATATATAGTATTTACATATAAACAAACATCATATCCCTTCAAACTTGTTTGCAAGAAATGTTGTAAGATACAGATGTACACAGAGAATCAAAGTAAATGTTGGGGTGGATATAGAAAGAGATTAAACGTTGGGTCCTAAAAGAGAGAGGAGAAAAGTCCTGTAATGACCAGTTGTATCAGAATGAACAGCATTGTACAAAGTCTTCTTGTATCTCTTGCGGTATTCTGTGATGATGAACTGCATATCCACCTCTGCTCTCGTCACCAATATTCTTATCAACGCCGTGTCATCTGTTCCTAATCCTTTCATTGATTTCCTCAGTGCCTGCGCTTTAAGTTTTCATTTTGTAAGCTCGAAACCCTGTAATTTGCCTTGTTGTTTAAGAAAGATCAGGTTACGCTACCTTTGCGAAATAGAAACAAGAGTTTTCAGCACATTGTAGAATTGTTAGAAGGACGTGCTCGAAGTTCCCGCGAGTCTCATCTCTTATGGCCTATCAAGATTGGAGAAAGAGAAGTTCAAGATTTTGGAAATTTTCTGATTCTTGAGTAACAAGTTTCTGAATCTTGATTCTTGATTATACCTTTCCAAGTTCTTTGCCGTACATGGAACGGTAAGTAGATCTTACAGCGACCAAATGAGTCCTGCTTCGGTCAGTGAATATCTGAATCAACGTCTGGTCATCAGATTTATGCTTCCTCGCAACCGCACTCTTGAGAGTCCTAGCATCGTTCTCTACACTCGCATTATCGATCTCTGGTCCTTCATATCGTGTAGTGTTCAAATATGCGAGCAAAACCTGTTACATATATTACATATACAAGTCAATTTCTGCTACTATCTGAACCAAAACCATGGATCAAATAGAGAAAACATACTCTTTTGTGATTGCCAGAAGCTTCGGATTCGATGTCCTCTTCAAGTTTCACACCGTAAGTGTTGCAGTAGACCTGTTTGATCTGACGAAGCTGAGAGCCAGATCGTGTACATATAATCTCAGCAACCGCTTTGTGATCAGTCACGGCTCCTCTTAAGCAGCGTTTCAGTATTGAAGCGTCTCGCTCCACTGCTTCAGGCATCCACAGAAGAACGGCTTTCTGAAATCAAAAACGTTTTTAACATTTTTTGTGTGTTAAATCATGAATATACATATCTTGTAAGGCTCAGATTTATTTACCTTGAGATGACCATGAAGCTCGGATTGGAGACGTTTTCGAAGGTCATCCGAGAATTTGGTTTCGTATTCTTGTTCGATAAGAGCTCGTTGCGTTGCATTGCGATGAGCTAAGATGTTGATGATCACCGAAGTATCGCAGCCTCTTCCTGAAAATTGCACAAAGATTGATTAAAAATGTAACAAATCAAGTTGTTATAAACTACATAAGAAGCGAATACGTACGTACCTTTGAAGGCCTTAAAGAGTTGGTCAGCATCGATTCGAGGAGAAGGTACCGTCATTGGTATTTTCATTGTTGCCATTTTTTCTTTCTTCCTCTAAAGATTCAAAAGAAGATATTGCAAAACTCTATAGCTTTCTTCTTTCTTTTTCTTGTTTTTTGTTGTTGTATTTTCTTGATTTTTTTCTTTTGTTGGTGTGGTGTGATTTGTGGCGATTGTGTTTTGGGTTGAAATATGCAAAGGAAAATGGACATTAGACCTTGATTTTAGGAGTTGAATTGAATCCTCTGTTTCCCTTGTGTGACGATATATTGACGCTTTGATGCATAAAATTTAACGGATAACATTTTTAGGGTCCAATATATATCTCTATGTGTTCATATTAAAATATCATATATTCATACGTATGACAGATTTTGCCAAACTTAGTTTGATTTTCCGAAGGTGATTTTCGCACCATGTCATCAATGTTTTTGGAACGCATGAGATGCAAGAACAAGCTTTTTTTGTTTTAAAGGCTTTGCAAGAACAACCTTAGTTCGTAAAAAAATAGTTGCATATATATATATATCTATATATATATATACACACATTTGCATCAAAAAATTAAATATATACTAATTTGATACTATTTGCACCCAGTGAAAAGTTTTGTAATTTGTTAGATCTGCGACTCGATGACCCTTATGTATTAATAAGCAACATGTGATCAAATTCAAGGCTTATCAACACATTCAGTGGAGTACTATTTTTTACATATGATTAATTTTTTTTTTTTTCCTTATACATAGAGCGTGTTCGTTTGCATGTCGTCGGCGATAGAAATTAATGACATCGACCAAATGTTATTTATTTGTTTGTCGCTGGTTTAGCGACCAATCGTATAGATTAGCGATCGTAATATTTAGTTGCTAGAATATTTAGCGATCATCAGTGATCAGTCACTGCGATTGGTCGTTGAATCCAGCAGTACGGCAAACGAACAACATAGCGATCAAAAGTATATAAATTTAAAAAAAAAAAAATTAAATAAGTTAAATTAATTCTAATTAAAATTAATTATATAAAGTTATACAAAATTAAATTAAATTAGATTCATGTATAATCTAAATGAATTATACTATTAAACTAAACTAAAATTAATTAATTTCGAAACAATGGGCCAAAACTACAAATTATAAAAAGATTTCCTAAGGTTTATTACTTTCCCCAAAATGGATGTTGTCACTTTCGGAATCATAATCGGAATTATCATTCTCTTCTTCTGCATCGTCTGCTTCATCACCATTGAAGGCACTTGCAATAACCGTCGCTCTTCTTAGCTCACTCAAAGATGTCGCTCTCGCTGAGAAGGCTCGTGGTTCCGACTTTGGTTTTGGTACTGTTTCTGGATCTGTGCGTAGAATCCGGATTCTCTCAGTCAACGCCGGCGCGTGACGATCACGTGCATCATCACAGTGGTGGGTGTAGTCATTCTCATGACCACGACCACGACAACGATCATCATCATGTGAAGAAGAAGACGGCGGCGAAGGTAGAGATGAAGCTGCCGGAAGAGCTTGCTGAGGAGGAGGATATGAGGTTGTGTGGGTTTGGACCTTGTCTTCATGATCATGATCACGAATCAAGTTCTACTCTTACCGGGTTAGGTAAATTTGGTTCCTTTTGCTACATTCTTCAATGGGTTTTACAAATTAGTGAAGGAGTTGATAATTTAGAAATCATTCATCTTTTTTGGTGGTGATTAGAATCTCTTCTTCTTGTTGTTTTTGTAGCTCTGTGGCTTAATGCATTGGGATGCTCTCTTTTGGTTAGCTTAGCCTCACTCATCTGTCTGGTTTTGCTTCCCATTATGTTTGGTAAGCAACCAAAAAAAACCTTCCTTTGATTGTCCTGGAGAAAATGCTCTCGTTCGTTTATTCATGTGTTCATGAGAGTAGTTCTTTTGATGTAACTTGTTATGTTTCATTTTATAGTTCAAGGGAAGCCGTCAAAAGGGTTCGTTGATTCTTTGGCTTTGTTTGGGGTAAGTCATTATTTTTTTCTACGACAGTTGCTTTTCTTTGGTGGTGTTGGTTCTGAATTCGTGGATATTTGATTTAGCAATCTCTATACACTGCGTTCGGTCACATGTTTATCTCTTGACTTAGTTGGAAATGTGTATATTATATGATCTGTAGCTACTTTGAATAGTCTTGATTCACTCAAGTTTATTTTGTTTACCAGGCAGGAGCTATGTTGGGGGATGCTTTTCTTCACCAATTGCCTCATGCTTTTGGTACAGTGATGGACACAATTATCTGATCTCTATTTTGTATCTGCATTGTTCCATGAATTGACACCTTGTATATTTTCCTGCTTTTTTTGTTGTTGTTTTTGCGATTGTGGATTTCAATTCCGGACCAAGAAATATTTTTTGAAGTGCAAAATTTTATGGTTTGGCAGGTGGTGGTCACTCTCACTCTAATGATCACCATGAGAACCATGCCCATCATGATCATTCTCATTCGGATTCGCCTTCACACTCACATTCTATACAAGATTTGTCTGTTGGATTATCTGTTCTCGGTAAGTATCATAACACTTCCTCTTGTGTTTAGTGAACACAATAGTTTGACAGAATTTACTCTTTAATTCAAGTATCACTCTTGATTGTTCAGCTGGGATTGTGGTCTTCCTTCTTGTGGAGAAGTTGGTGCGGTATGTCGAAGAAAACTCGTCTGGGTCCAATACTTGGGGTCATCATCACCACCACCACCATGCAGGCAGTAAGAAACTGAAGGATGAAGATGATCATAACAACTTGGACCAAAAATCTTCTTCTGATGAAATTGTAAATTCATCAGAGAAAGTCTCTAGCGGCTCTACAGATGGATCTCTCCGTAAGGTGAGAACAATCTTCTATGTAAATATTTCTATCTGCAGCAGATGAGTTTGAGTTGAATTCAAGAAGCAAGCATAGAACAAAAACACGGAACACATTAGTTTTGGTAGAAGTTCTGTTTTATCAGTCTCTTGCTTGAGAGGTTTAACATACTTAATTTGGCACCTTTTCAGCTACGAGTTTCTATTTCTTCTGTTATATGCAAACATCTATTCTTTGAGCTTCTACATGAAGCCAGAGGTATGATTCATCTTGTTATGGTTAACTGAGTAAACTTATCTATTTGCAGAGAAAGAGTTCTGCTGGTGATGCTGCTGATAAATCAGATTCAGGAACAGAAATTACTTCTCATGGAAAATCGGACAAACCAGAACAGGTGGAGACGCATTCTTCAAGCCTAGTCTTTGGTTACCTCAACTTGTTCTCTGATGGTGTTGTAAGTACGTGTTCCTTTTTCAATTATTAAAGAGATAGCTTCAATCGGGCTGATCAAAGACTGCAAAAGAGATGCTTCATCTGTTAAGATGAGATTTCATTTCCTCCTTTGTTGTGCAGCACAATTTTACTGATGGAATGGCATTAGGAAGTGCGTTTCTCATCTACGGATCAGTTGGTGGTTGGTCAAGAACTATGTTTTTACTCGCCCACGAGCTTCCCCAAGAGGTCTCTACTCTATTTCCTAAAGAAAATTGAAAATGTGCATAGCAACAAGTAAACCCCCTAAACGATTCCATTGGAACTTACTTGTAGATAGGTGATTTTGGGATCCTAGTGAGGTCAGGCTTCACAGTAACAAAAGCACTCTTCTTCAACTTCCTCTCTGCACTCGCCGCACTTGCAGGAACTGCATTGGTAAGTCTTTTACATCTTAAAACCTGACAGATCTCTAGACTATTGAAAACTGAACTAACTCTGGTGATGTTTTGTATCTGCCACAGGTCTTGATTTGGGGAAATGAACCAGGACAATCATCGTTGATCGAGGTAGTGAATAACATATTTGCATTGCTTGTATTTGATCTAGTAACACATCTAAATGCTATTGTATATATTTGGTTGGTGGTTGAAATCTTGCAGGGATTCACAGCGGGAGGATTCATATACATAGCTGTTGCTGGTGTTCTTGCAGAAATGAACAACTCCGGAAAATCGACACTTAAAAAAAGTGCCTGCCATTTGATATCTTTGATTCTTGGCATGAGTGTTGCTCTTTGCATCTCTCTTATAGAATGATCTCATAACAATTGTTTTGTAACCACCGATATAGAAGTCCCAAGTTCGGGTTTTGTTGTTTTGACTAGAGAAAGATACTGCCTAGTTCTCAACTTTCGAATTGAGATTAGGCACATTTATAAACACAAACCCTTAATGTTCTTATAAGGAGAGATTGAATGCAAAGGGTGTACTATCCAAATTTTGGTTTGTTTTCGGTTTTCAAATTTAGAAACCGGATGCTATTTGGTTCGATTAACCGGTTTGATACAGTATTGGACCTATAACCACCTATTGGTCTCACTTTGGATATGGAAAAAGTTGTCTATTTTGGAAGAAAAGCCATTGCTGCAAAAAGTTTATTAAACAAACTCTAATTTACCTTAATTAGCCAAAATAAAATTCAGCTATTTTGTTTGATTGGACAAATAAATTCCCTAATTTTGTATAGTCAAACTTAACATCTGTAATAAAATGTTAAGTTTGACTAACATTAGAGTAATTCAATTTGTTTTATTTGATAATGTTTTTGGGTTTTGGCCAACTTAAAACGAATAAATCAAGAATTTTTTTAACTCTTTTTCTATTTAAAATATTACAACAAAGAAATTTAGATTTGTAGCTGGTTTATTAACTTTTCGGTTTAGTTCGACTTTCAATCGTGTCAGTAAACCGGATTGGATAGCAGTATTTCCATCAATCCACACGTGTGTTACTCAGGCGCACGAATGTAGTAAAGGGATCACACGTGCCAGTTTTGATTTTGAAATATTTATTAAAATAAAAAAAAGAATTTGAAAAATAGAGCGGTTACAACGGTAGTAACGGATGGTAAAGGAAAGAAGAACTCAAAATAGAGACAAAGAGATGACTTTTCATTCTCCAGGTAGAAGACGAAAACGTTTACAGAGAAAAAGAGGAAGAGAGAGCAATAACAGATAGGAGGGAGGCGGCTTGACGATGAAGCTGTGGAAACGAGCTGCCGCCGCAATCAAAGACCGGAAAAGCTTACTTGCCGTTGGTTTCTCACGGCGAAACAGCTCTTACCGGAACGCGGATCTCGAAGCAGCTATCATCAAAGCCACCTCCCACGACGATTCCTCCGTCGACTATTCAAACGCTCACCGTGTCTACAAATGGATCCGTTCTTCTCCTCTTAATCTCAAGACTCTCGTCTTCGCAATCTCTTCTCGCGTTAACCACACGCGTAGCTGGATCGTTGCGCTTAAATCCTTAATGCTTCTTCATGGTGTTCTCTGTTGTAAAGTACCGTCCGTCGTTGGAG